CACGTTCGACATTTATCATGGGAGGGCAATCCAAAAAAGGCCTGCCGTGCCTTAATTTAGCCACCATGTTGGTCCAGTGCATTTAGGAAGCGGTCCGTTTAGTAGGCGAACACACACGACAGGTCGACAATGTCCCCATCATGCTTTAGCACACTGAAAGCAAACGTATTGACTGGCGTGTTAGTTTCAACTGATAGTAGACTTTTGTTGCATCTACCGCACTCTCTCTGCCCTCCCCCAACCTGGGCCCGGTGTCAAGACAGAGTTAAGAAGACCGGAGTTGAGATCGGGCGCAGGTGGCTGGCGTGGCCGAGCCCCCCTATGTTCGGCATTTGTTATCAACGCACAACCTGAATAAACGCCTGCAGTACCCTGATATGGCCCCCGCGTTGATCCTGCGCATCTACAACGCGGCCCGTTTCAAGGGCACAATAGAGAGACGCCTGAAGGTTCCCCACTACCAAAAACCACACGCCTGAGCAAAACTCGATTAAATGTCCGTCGTAGGCTTCAACACGCCGGAATTCAATGGTAAGTCTCCACCTGGGGTGAGAGAATTGCCAATCATCCTGAACCTGAACACACTAACACACACACTGAGAAGGAGCTTTTTAGACTTACCACTGCTGAGCAGGGCGGAAATAATGTAACTGTCCATGTCTGCATCATCACTGTCGAAGATAGACACGAGATGAGCGTAATCCTCGGTCAGGCGACGCAGAATAACCACTTCCTCCTGAAAGTCCTCCACGTTCAGCGGCACTGGTTTAGGCGGCGGCTGCGGAAGTTTCAGGGAGATTCGGGAGGAGCGTCTGGACCCGTGTGGACTGTTAAGGCGTGAGGCAGGAATAGAAGGTGTTGTTGTCACATTGGATGGCCTCCTCTGTTTCATGTAAAAGGCTCCATGTGCCTCCTCATCTACCTCCATCAAAATGCTTGCAATTCTGGGGGAGAAATGTGTAGAAGATGACCAATCACCTTCACGTGTGCTGGACAAGTATAAAATAGTCAGTCAAGGTAACTTCTAAAACTACGGTAAATGGCAACTGGCGCCTTCAAATGATAGCCACAAAATGTTGAAGTGGGGCTGAAAAGGGCATTGTTTTTTTCAGAGCTGTTCTTCTCGAGAAATTGTGCTTCTTGAGCAACTGTTCGATGACCATGAAAAGTCAAATGGTCTTGGTAGGGGATATGAATGTGTTATTTTTAAGACACAAG